TGCCAGGAGGAACCAGTCTTGGGATCTTCCTGTTTTGACCTGGCTGGCACCCTGGCTATGAGCTGTAGGAACTTCCTGATTTCATGGGTCCCTCTCCTCACTATCACCACTGCCCATTCCTATATCACAGGTTTGGTGGAACCTACACTGTTCTGGAGGCTGAGCATCCATGGGGCTTTTGCCTTAGCTAGCCTCTATGGAGAGTCCTAGGCAGCAAGCACCATTCAAACTCCAACCAGGCTTCAGCTGAGGAATTTATCATCAGACATGCCCATCCCCTGAAATAATATCCTCCATGGTCTCTTACATAGCACATACCCTGGGACTCCAGCGCGGAATGGGTTCGTGAGCATGCCCAGTAGACAACCAGGAGTGCCCGAACATACACAGGACATGGAGCTGCTCCCAAATTTTGAGTTTTCATTTTCATGATGCATGTTTTCTTCATGGCAACAATTTATTTTTGTAGTAAAGCTGGTTTGTCATGAAGATAACACAAAAGTTGCTAAATAACTCATATTACCTTACACATCAACAAAGTGTGTGTGTGCATGAATGTGCTAATAGTATCGAGGACTATTATCCTTTACTCATTCTTCCCTGTCACATCTCCAGATTTATAATATGTCCAGTATGAGCCGGGCGGTGGTGGCGCACGCCTTTAATCCCAGCACTCGGGAGGCAGAGGCAGGCGGATCTCTGTGAGTCTGAGACCAGCCTGGACTACCAAGTGAGTTCCAGGACAGCCTCCAAAGCCACAGAGAAACCCTGTCTCGAAAAACCAAAAAAAAAAAAAAAAAAAAAAAGATGTCCAGTATGTGTGTGAGTCCACAGTCAGATACTGTCAGTGACTGGACAGTCGCACGCTAATTGGGACATCAGCAAGTGAGGGTTTCTAATTTTTAAAGATTTAAATTTTTACTATGTATTTTAAATTTTTGTTGTCAGGTGTTTAAATGTTAATAGTTAAAGAAAGTTTATAATGTACCAAGAATGAGTATCCATGTTTCACTTTTAACACTGCACATACAAAACAGTAAATAGAAACATAGATTCAAAAGTTTGGGAGGAACTTGCCATAAAACTGTTCACATTGTTTCTTTAAATCCAGCATTCTTCTAAACTATTAAGAGTTCAGCAAGTACCTAGATAAGAATAAATATCCCAAAATTAACAGTGATCTTATGTACAAGCAGAAAATTAAGAAAGGGTATGACTTTTAAAAAGTGTCTGTCTTAGTCAGGGTTCCTACTGCTGTGGAGAGACACTATGACCACAGCAACTCTTATGGACGAACATTTTTAACTGAGTGGCTTAGTAGTTCAGAGGGTTAGTCCGTTATCACCATGGTGGGGCACAATGCTGTGCAGGCAGACCCGGTGCTGGAGAAGGAGCTGAGAGTTCAGTTCACAGGAAGTGAACTGAAACACTGAGTGGTGTCTTGTGCATAGGAAACCTCAAAGTCTGCCCCACTAGTGACACACTTCCTCTAACAAGGCCACACCTAACTTCAATGAGGCCACACCTCCTAATAGTGCCACTTCCTATGAGCTTATGGGGACATTCAAACTACACATTTATGATAGCAATAAAAACTTTGCAGAGTTTGCAGATGGAGATAAAAAAAAAAAGGACTGATGAAAAGGACTCAAACTCAGTTGACACATAACACAGCTAAGTAAATGAAAAAAAAAACACCAACTTCACAAAGAGGGATGAGAAGACACAATGATAGGAATACTTTCTAGGAAATCTATAACTGTATTGTAGTTACAACCAACATCTACATTTCCCTGTGATATTTGACAAGTTAATTCTTAAGTTAATACCAAAGAATTAAGAACCAAAAGTCACCAAGATGACAGCATGACAAAGAAAGGCACCAGACAAAAAGGCTTATCATAAAGCTATGCCTTTGGCCAACACAACTCAGGACAGAGTAAAGGGCACATGACAAGCGTATGACTGTGGGAAAATGTGATTTACACCATCAGAGGAAGACGAGAATGTTCAATGAGTGATACTAGGTCAGCCACTTTTCCATTCGGAAAGAAAAGAGAAAAAGAAATCCACACTCTACCTCATTCACAAAACGATTTGTTGTATGGCCTCAGGGTAAGGAAAGAACAACATTGCTAAATCTGACATCAATGGGAACTTAAACGTAAGCCATGAAGACAGGGCTGGGGGAAGTGTAGGGGCGAATGTGCAGGGCCAGCATGGGCAACTACAGTCAGTACCTCACTGACAGAGAAGGTGGGAAAAGGGGACAGGACTGATAATTATGAAAAAAATTTCAGATGCCTGGTCCATGAAAGTGTTATTATCCTAAATGCATGAAGTTCCCCAAATTAATAAGAAAAAAAAATCAAGAGAATGAACACAAGCCAGGAGCAATGAATTCTCGGAAATAAAAATCTAAAGGGACAAAAGACATGGTAATCAGGAAATGCAAATTTAACATGATGTGATTTTTTTGTTTTTTTTGTTTGTTTCTTTGTTTTGTTTTGTTTTTTTTACAAGACAGGGTTTCTCTGTATTGTTTTGGAGGCTGTCGGTCCAGCCCGGCCTCGAACTCACAGAGATCTGCCTGCCTCTGCCTCCCGAGTGCTGGGATTAAAGACGTGCACCACCATCGCCTGGCCAATGATGTGATTTTTCAAGAGTTCATTTCATTTCTTTGATTGAGTCTCACTACATACCCCAGGCTGCCCTGTCTCAGCCTCCTGGGTACTGGAATTGCAGGCATGAGCCACCAATTTGAAATCTATCAGACAGGCAATGGTTAAACATGTGTAATTCTAACTGTTGAGAGTAAAGGAGATGAAGACTGTCATGTAGTTAGTGTCTATGAGTCTCTGTCTGTGAAGTACAGTTAGAGATTATCTGGAAAGTAGACAGAGTCTACTGAAAAGACCACAGCCACCCTAGTGCTAGGTGTACCCCAGTAGAACCCCACCCCACCTACAAACATCCAGATATAAGGGCAGTTCTGATAGAAATTTCTAATGTCTAATAGGAGCATAAACAGATAAAGAAACTTTGATATAGACTAGACTATCTTGAACAATAGTACAAATCATCCTAAAGCACAATATTTGACCCTGACGGTAAACTACAGGGTGATGAGACAACCCTCAGCCCTTTTGTTTGGTAGAAAGTGTCACCATGCCCTAGCTGATTTCATCCCTGGAAAACTGAAACTGACTCAGTACACCTCATTCTGGACCCTTCCCTACTCCATTCTTCATATAACAACTACCTCACATCCCACCTCTACCTTTCATTGGCTTCCCTCTGCAGCCTTATAAAGATCTAAACAGCTAGTGCTGTCTGATTGGCTCATCCTAATATCCCCCTCCCCCTACATGATATCTCTCTGACTTCCCCTCCCACCCCTGACCCGTGCCATCTTGTCTACAGCATTCCATCCACTTTGCCCTCCTCCTTGAATACACCAGACTCACTTCTGCTAGGGCATCAACACAGATTGTTCCTTCTCGTCACTAAGATTCATGTACCCTGTTGTATTAGTTACTTTTGAAACCTCAAAGCCTAGTGACACACCTCCGTCAACAGGGCCCCTTAATCCTTCTCAAACAGTTCCACCAACTGGGGACCAAGTAATTAAAGACATGAGTCTCTGAGGGCCATTGTCATTCAAAACACAACATTCTACTCTCTGGTCCTCATAGACTTGTGATTATAGCATAATGCAAAAATGCATTTAATCCAACTTCCACGGTTCCTATAGTTTTTTAGTCTCAACATCTTTTGAGACCCAAAGCGATCTCTTAATTATAGCATCCTATAAAATAAAAATCAAATCACATACTTCCAACATGCAATGGCACAGAATATACATTACCATTCCAAAAGAGAGACATGGGGGCATAGCGAGAAATTCCTAGTCCAAAGCAAGACTGAAGCCCAGCAGGGCAAACTCCAAATCCTGTAACTCTGTGTATGATGTTAAAGAGCTTAGCTTTGCCCTTTTAGCTTTGTTGCCTGCAAGATATATCTCCTTCTGTTTAGTGCTCCATCCTGTGTGCCGCTCCCCTTGGCAGATATCCTGGCACTGCCAACATTCTGGGGCCTACAATGCTATCCAGGCTTCATGCAATAGTCTCTGGGGCATCCATGCAGACTCCCCTGCCGCATGTCAGGCTTCAGTAGCTGTTTGAAGCCGTGAAGGAAGAAGCCACCAGTCCCTTACTCGTGTGTCCTTCATGACTCTAAATAGCACCACTTAGACAACCCCGTCAAGCTGGGTTGCCAATTTGAAAAGGACCCTGGTCCCCTTGAGTCAAATTTGCAGCAGCTTTGGCCATTCCTTTCTAGGAGTGGGAAATCCCTCAGGCCTGTCCCCTTCCCAGGCTGGAAGCTTGTCCTGAAGTCACCCTTCCCTTTATTCTACTGCAGATCCTCTGTCTCTTATCCCTTTCAGCACAAGACTAGGCTGCAAGATAACATTTCCTGGTGCTCTTCTTCTCTTCAAGCTGTATGTTCTGCATTTCCCTCTGTCACATTTGCTCTTTTTCATTGTAGACCTGCATCAGAGTCATTACTATTAACCATGACACAGAGTCAACATTAGGCTGTCTTGAACTGCCAAAGAATGGTTAGTCCATTGCTTTTTAAGTTAGCCTAGGTCAGATTCTTAGGACAAGGGCAGAAAGCAGCCACGTTCTTTGCCAAAACATCCCAGGAGAGGTCTCTAGCCCTGCTGCTGAGATTGCTCCCCTCCGGACGCTCTTAAGCCAAGCCTCCCCAGTCTGCATAGTTTCGGCACTACTGTCTTCCAAGCTTCTACTAGGATGGCCCATTCACCTCCACTTAGAGTGTCCAACCACTTTTCTAGTCCAAGGTCCCAAAGTCTGCCACATTCCTGCAAAAAGACACGATAAGTTCAGGCCCATCAGAAGAAATGCCCCTCCTTGTACCAACTTCCGCATTAGTTATTTTTTATTGCTGTGATAAAACACCATGACCATGGCAACTTACGGAAGGGAGGTTTTAATTTTGGCTTATGGTTCCTGAGGAACAAGAGTCCATCGCCATCTCAGCGGGAAGGGTGGCAGCAAGCAAACACAGTGGCCAGAGCTGGAAGCTGTGAGCTGAGCTCATCCGTTCATCCTTAACCACATTCAGGAAGCAGAGAGGATGAGCTCGGGATGGCATGAGGCTTTGAAATGCATTTGTGGGAGAAATGATACAATACTCTGGAGTGGGGATGTTTTATAAGAATCGTTGCAGTCTTCTTCGTATTCTCCAGGAAAGAAATTTCACAGAAGACTTGAAATTACAGGCGGTGCACACCTGTAATCCTGCTTCTCAGAAGGCTTCGATGGGAGGAGGAGCATGAGACTGTCTTGAAAATGAATGAATGAATAAATTAATTAGCAAGAAAGGGATTTAAGGGGCTGGAGAGATGGCTCGGCAGCTGAGAGTATTTGTTGCTCTTACAGAGAACCTAGGTCAGTTCCCAACCACTGTAACTCCCTGTAACTCCAGGCCCAGGGAATTTGACTACCTGGCCTCTTCCAGGTACCTGTAAGCATGTGGTACAGATAAATTCATGTAGGCACACGACAGACACAAAAATAAAAATAAATTAATATTTTTAAAAACAGGGGTTTGAAATGAGAAATTTAAGAAATATTAAATAAGTCATTGGTCACTAACGTTCAGGGACAGGAGGGTGACCCAAGTAGATTTTCGTGGTGACATCGGCCTGTGCTGAATTCAGCTGTTGTCACTGTGAGCTGTGGTGGGTAGAGCATTCTAGAACATTACACACGTTTTTATACCAGAGTCAAGATTCCAGTTTCCTTGTGCCCATAACATAAGCTGTGGCCATGGGGGAAACTGGACAAAGGGAGCACAAGCCAGGCCTTCTCTGTTGTATAACTTCATGGAAGATCTTAACTATTTAAAGTTAAAAAAGAAATGCAAAAAGATCACCTAAAATAACATCTCTAGTACACAAAAGAGATAAATAAGGACAAAAAAACATCATTTGTAGTGGGTGGGTTTTTTTTTCTTTCTGTTTGTTTTGTTTTAAAGAACACTGTCCTCTGATTGCAACATGGCAGGTGCCCATTTGAGCCCTCAAGTGCCATAATTACCCACAGGAGACCTGCACAAGACTGAGCCCATTAACTCTGTCATGGAGTGGAAAGGAGAATGTTCCTCCCTGGGGTTTTTAGCTGTTTGTGAGCAGGGCATGAGAGACATTTTCCTCGGTGGGGCAGCTTCCTGTAAGCTGCCTATGCCACTCTAAACAAACCTCATTAAACCCATTGGCTCACCAGTGGCTAGACTCACTCCTTTGGTCTGTTGTTAATGCCCTGTCTCTGTTGAAGAGACTCTTGCTGGTCTCTCCAAAAAACATTCCTAAAATGGTGGCATAGGGCAGAGCAGAGACGCCTCTGAAGTCTATAGTTGCTTTGAATGAGCCTGGTCAATAAATGTGTGGGTCACTGCCCTTTGACAGCCTTCTCAAAGGGCTCCCTAACAGAGACATTCTAGTTAGCTACCCCAGATGCAAGGCCTTGCTTAAGAGCCTAGATTTAATCTGATATTAAAATCGGATAACCTGGTTTCAAATCCCAGCTCCAAAACAGTAAATGGCTTTCTGTGTCACCTTCCCTTGAGCCCCAGTCTCCTTATCTTTGAGATAGTCATAATGCAATTATGTGCCGGAAATGGTGCTGTGGGGATGAGATCCAATAGTATATGGGACGCACTCTACAGAAAAGTTGGCAGGTAGGATGAGTTCTCCCAATGGCCACTTCTCCAAAAAAATCAAGCTGGAACGATGGCTCCATGGCCAAGAGCACTGGCAACTATCCCAGACGACCTGCATTTAATTCCCAGCACCCACACAGCAACTCATAACCGTCTATAACTCTAGATCCAGACGATCCATTGTTCTATTCTGGTCTCCACAGGCACCAGACCCAAAGCATAGGTGTGGTACACAGACATACATGCAGACAAAACACCCGTTTGTATAAAACCTTAAATTGAAGAAACAGCCTCAAACCAGGGAAATCAATTCAAATCTATCATTTGTCCCAACCTCCTCCACACGATGTAACTGAGGTTTTGTGCTGAGTTTAAGAAGTACTAAATCGTAAGGAGAGGGATAATCGTGGGGTGGGGGTTGGGGACAAACCCAGGGAAATCTCTACAATTGTCTGTGTCCTCTGCTGTTGGACAGCAGAGGAAGAACCATACTCCTCCAAAAGGAAAACAAACAAGAAAGGAAGACATTCAGAAAGAAACAAGCAAACAAGAGGCTTGTCTGGTCGTGTGGGCCTGCAAACTGTAAAGAGGTATAATCCCAAATGTCAAACGTAAAAGGGCCGGGGCTGGAGAGAAGGCTCAGTGGTTAAGAGCATCTGCTGTGGACAGTGGTTGTACATGCCTTTAGTCCCAGCATTCAGAAGGCAGAGGCAGGCAGATCTCTCTGAGTTCAAGGCCAGCCTGGTCTATAGAGCAAGTTCCAGGACAGCCAGAGCTACACAGAGAAACCCTGTCTCTATAAACAAAAACAAAACAACAAAAAGTACACCTGCTTCTCTGGCAGAGGACCCAAGTTTGGTTCCCAGCACCCAGGTCAGGAGCTCACAGTCACCTCTAGGGGACACACACTCACACACACACACACACACACACACACACACACACACACACATGCACGCACGCACGCACATACACACTCACACACTCTCACATGTATAAGTAAATAAAGATGGAGATAAATTTTTAAAAAGGAAGTAGACACCAGGTCTGGAATACAGCTCAGTGGGTAAAGTACTCACCCATGAAAGCATGAGGACCTGAGTTCAATCCCCCAAAAAACAGGTAAAGCCCAGTCATAATGTCATGACTATAATCCTGGTGCTAGGGAGACAGGGACAGGCAGGTCCCTTGAGTCACTGGCCAGGCTGGCTTAACCAAAGAGCATTGGGTCCCAGAGATACCTGTCTCAAAAAAAAAAAAAAAAACCTGGCCCCTGCATGCTGCACATTTACATACACACTCTCTCCACACAGAAAACCCCAGAACTCAAAAAAATAAAGTCACTGAATAAGAGGAAGGGGGACGGAGAAAAAGAAGAAAGGATGTGAGGGGAGAAGAGGAGGAGGAGAAAGCAGATTCTGTTAGACTAAGTCCAAAATTGCTGAGAGAAAGCCTACCGACTGTGGTTAGGGTTGGTTTTGACATTTTCTTTTCTTTCTGTCTTTCTTTTGAGCCACTTCTGGGTATGAAGCAGCCCAACTGCAGCCTTAATCTGGGGGAACAGGACAGCAGGCTCCACTTTCCATTGGCAGAAGAGCAGCATTCCATCTGGAGGGGCACAGGCAGGCAGGAAACGAGAGCCTCAGCTCATGCCTCTCAAGGTGCATTCGGGTTGACATCGAGCCTACTTCAAGTCTGGACCAGAACCACAAAGCATAGCAGAGGAGCTGAGCGTCCCTCTCGCCGGCACACAGCGACCGACAGAGCCGGCACTGGGTCTGCAGAGACACGGCATCACATTTCTAAATGGGGTGGGGGCAAAGGGATGCAACCCGTGTTTAAGTGACAACCAACTCACGCCATTAGTTGAAATATGTGAAACTGACTACTGGCTCGGAATCGGGAAGAACAAATGACTGCTGGAGAAAGGAAGGGTTGAGCATATTTTGTTTTCAGTAATGAGAGAGATTCCAAAGGCGAAGCCACCCCTCTTCACAGTGCTAACAGGAGACTCAGACCACAGAAAGGGCTTGTTTCGTTTTTGACAAGACCTTAAGAACCCCAGGAAATCTAAGCGTAATACCATCGCATATTTTCAAAAGTAATGAAGCCGAGGCAATGAAAGAAGTCTCAATAAATCTCACTTTCAGAGTATCGATGGCAAGACTCGGGATCCCGTGTTTCTGACTGGATTACTCAGCTTGACGTTTGAACAAAATGTAGTAAAACTTGTTTCAAGGACTGGTTATATAACCACGGAATTCTGTTTTGGAAATTCTTATTTAAAATGCAGAGATCAATGGCAAACAAGTTCAAGCCCTCCCCTTAGCGACCAATGTTCCGAGGCTAATTGATGGCGCCCTTCTTAAGTAGCCTGGTGACTGTGCATTTATGTTGTCAGGTGTTAGGACAGCAGACTTCTCAAGCAGATCAACTGGGTTTCTATTAAACCTCCAAGGGAAAGTGAAGGGTTGTCTCCAAAGAAATAAGAGTAACAAAGAAACTGGCATACTTAGGGAAAGGAAAAGTTTTAGTCATCCGCTGACTAAAGGAGATTTGGGGGCAAAGAATGCCCTCTAGAACAGTTCTCAGACTGTGGGTTGAGACCCCTTTGGGGTTGACCACCCCTTTCACAAGAGTCCCCTGTCAGAGATCCTGGGTATCACACATTTGCATTAAAATTCGTAACAGTGGCAAAATCGTAAAATAATTTTAAGGTTGGGAGTCACCACATCATGAGGAACTATACTAAAGGGTCAAGGCATTAGGAAGGTTGAGAACCACTGTTCTGAAGTCTTCACAGACATAGATAGATAGATAGACAGACAGACAGACAGACAGATGAGGTGGTAGAAGTTGTAATAATTAAGAAACATCTTGCTTTCACTTTTCAACAGACTATTGAAAAGAGCTGTAAAAATGAAAGTACTATAGATACTTGAAGTGCAGCTGCAGTGAAAACAAGAAGGAGATTCAGGGTTAAAGCTAAGTGCCCTGACTCCGTTTCCTAGCTTGACATCACCTGCCTGCCACCCCCATACACACACACAAGTTAAATACATCACTGACCTAAACTCGTGACCATTGTAATTCAGGTGCTAAAAGCATAAAATAAAATAAATGTGTGAAGACATTGAGACGCTGGCACCTAGACACCAGTTTGTTTCCCCTTATTTCGGAGGCAATTTCTGTCCAAGTTTCTAAAGCAGCCAAGCCCCCAGATGCTTCCTGAGAGTTCTACTTAAGGGCAGCCCGGGAAAATTCCTTTCACCCCTTGCTCTTGCAGGGCACTTTTCGCGTGTGAAGGACACTGGTTTGAAATCAAAGGCTTTCGAGAGGAAATGGTCCACGCCTGTTGATCTGCCTCCTTTATCTCAGGGCATAAATCTGTGGGGTGGTGAAGCCGTTTGAAAGCCACAGCTCAGACCTGGGCCGAAGGGTTACTCTCATTTTATTTGTTTTGGTTTGAGTCTTGTTGTTGTTTGTTTTCCTGTTGGCTGATACCCAATGTGACTGTGTTTTTGTTGGAGATGAGTTTGGCTTGGAAAGGACCAGTTTTCAGTAAAAATGGGTGGTTTGGGAAATAATACGACTGTCAAATTTCTATCCCCCCCAAAAAAAGTTGACTTTAAAAGACAATTGGGGTGCTGCTAGTATCATTTATAAAACAATTTAACAGCGGCTTGAATCCCAGGTTCTAAAAGTTGACTTACACCTTTGATTTCACCTGCAATGTTTCTACCTATACAACTCAAGTGGGGAAGACGATGGAATCCTTGATGCAGGTGGAACACTTTAAGTCCCTGAACTCAGAAGCAGGCCAAATATCCCTTTGGGGGTAAGATCTCGATTATAATGCAGAGCCACCAGGGTGACATCCAAGGTAAAGCTAATCCCCTTGCTGGGTCACCTTTCACTGGCAGGAGATTAATTTTGTGGTTCCTAGAACTGGGCTCCTGCCTGGTATCAGGAGGCTGCTATGGAGAGAGGTAGGGAGGGGGAGGGGAAACTTTGACTCATGGTGGTATTTAATCTGTATTTTTGGACTGAACTAATCAGAGATGACACTCTTACACATGAAACAGATGCTTGGCCGATTCGACCCTAGAGTTTCTCAAAGCAGTCAGTTTTCTGGGGCCACAGTAAAGGCATGGAGCCCCCATGCCACAGGCCTGAATGTCCCTGGACAGTGGGATGGGTTTGTCAAGGCTGGCTTCTTGCTAGTTCTAAAGGCTCTGGCAGAGCACCACACACTCCTAAGACCTCTATTTGGGATAGAGGTTTAACTTTAAAGATATTTAATCGGCAGCTAAACACAAACGTACTTGCGCTCAATACCAAATGTGTTGTTTAAATATCATCTTTTAAAGAAAGTCTTGTAAGTGCTTGAAATGTGCACGATGCTAATTTAAGATTGGGGCTTCGGTAGGACTATGTGCTTTTAACATGTCTCGTGTGGGTACCCCTTCATCCAAAAGTTCTGCGGCCGGAACCAACTACACGCATCCTCTCCCATAAGTACACAGGGTTTTCCTGAGCTTTGCTACACTCTAGTTTGTGACAGCAGAGAGTGGGAGACAACCTAACTGTCCAGTGATGGGGGTGCCGAGCCCGTCAACAACAGTGCATTCATGGGCTGGAATGTGCTGCAGCTGTTGAGAAGAATGACGAAGGGCCTGAGGCTACACACAAACATGGAAATCTAGGCAGACCCCCAAACAGCAAACCTGGGAAGCAAATTAAAGAACAGAGTGTGTGCATGGTACTGTTTGTGGGTACTTTAAAAAAAAACTGATTAAAAATAGATGCTTCTCTGGTATTAGAACATTCCGGAAAAAAATTAACAAATAAATAACAGTACCCCGAGGGAGTGGAGTGGGGAAGGGGGTGAACAACCCCCCCCCCCGCTTTAGTGGCCTGCTGAGCTGGCTAGATTTTTTTTAACCATGAGTTTGTTGCTTTTAGACTAATTGAGAAACTGGTTAATAAAAGATTATATTTACTCTGGATTAACAGACACATTCCCGAACCCCGTTTGTAGGAGGGTAAGTGGGGCTGGAGGAAGGTGTTAACCCATTCTCTGTAAGAGGAAAGCGTCAAAGACGGCAGGGTGCGCTTAGCGCCACGCGCACTTGGTGACGTCGCCTCTGGAGCAGCGGCTTTACATAAGGACCCCAGAGACCCGCGGGGCGCCGGACGCCAGCATCAGCTGCCACGCCACCGCAGACCCACTGGGCTCCGCACTCCCGGATGGGGATGGTTGCAGACAAAGAACGCTGCTGCGTCACCCGGTGGCACCTCAGCCCTTCCCTCTCCAGGGCCAGGGTGCGCCCCAGACAGTGTCAGTCCCCGCGGAAAGAATGCATAGTGGAAAGGCGATGCCCCCTCCGCGGTCACACACACCTCTCTCCCCGCTGATGTCCTGATCCTTCTTCCTTATCCAGTTCCTCGAAATAGCCCCAGCCGGCCTAGTCCTCGCTTCTGTGTATGTAAATCAAGGTCCAGTTGCTTCCAGGCTCTCGCTGAGCCAGTTTTGTAGGAGCTTTTAAGAAACCAAGTTCTCTCTCTCCCCCGGCCTCATTAACTTACTAATTAAATGCCAAGTCTTTCGGAAGATCTGTAGTTTTTTTTTTTTTAAATCTTGTTCCAAATCTAAAATATTTACTCCCCGCTCCCAGGCCGAAGCGTATCTCATCAGGCTGTTTTTTGTTGTTGTTGTTGTTTTTGTTGTTTTCAATCCTCATTTTGTTCCCAGAGTATTCTGAGGCTTAACTGCACTGCCAACAAGCAAAGACTTGTTATCCATCCGCTGGGGAAAGGAAAGAGCCAGGGAGTTTAAAGAAAAAGTAACTCTTGTATCGTCAGGTACTCGCTCGCTCTCTCTCATTTCCTCATAACAACCTCTTAACTTGCTCCGGTGCTTAGGATTTAAATGAAGAAAAAGGCTGTGATTTGCATGCCTGGACTGGGAAGCTACGGCTTCAATAGTCCGTTTCTCCTAAACCTAGCTCTCCTTGCCAAAAAAAAAAAAAAAAGCAAGAACAGCAAGCAGTAATCAAAACTTTCAAGACTAACCCAAGGCGCCTCTGGTTGCCAAACTGAGGCACATTATTAGAAAATAGAGAGGAAAAGGTGTCCTGTTTTTCCTAAACGGTAGGACTAATCTGGTGTCGGTAACTAATCTGTTATTTTCCTTACTGGAAAAGGTCCAAATAGTGGGTTATTTTTTGAAGAAAGGCAGTCTAAACAATCCAGGACTTTGTCAACCTTTCAGCTTCAGCATTCACAGGACCGCGGTGTGAACAGCCCTCAGACTGAAGTCCCTTTATTTTTTTCAGCCACTTGAGAAAAAGTTTTGCCACAAAGTTCTAATGACACGAAGTCCTACAAATCAGCTTGGACACGTCTAAATGTGTTTTTCCTAGAAAAGGGGGCCAGGCATCGATTTTATCTGGCAACCATCAAAATATATCAGACCGCAAAAGCTATACATTCCTGGACCTCACATGGTGCATGGCTAGGAACTGCAGCGAGTCAACCCTGGAGCCCAGCTGCTATAGTGGCATCTGCAGTCCACACAGCCCAGGCAGCCGAGCTGACACTAACCACTGCTACCCAGAACTCACCACAGCAAAAGAAAATCAAATCAAAGTGAAAAATGTAAAGCGCAGTGGGAGGGGCACTTAAAAAAAATAACCTACCTGTCCTTATTTTATGTACGTTGGTATTTTGCCTGCATGCATGTGTGCAGGAATCAGATCTCAGAGTTATAAACTGTTGTAAGCTGCCATATGAGTGCTGGGAATTGAACCCTGGCCCTCTGGAAGAGCAGCCAGTGCTGTTAACCACTGAGTCATCTCTCCAGCCCCAGGAAAGTGCACTTCTAACCCACCTTTTCTATTTCTGATTTGAGATTACATGAAATGCATTCAGCTCATTACACAGAAAACAACAAGAAGCTCATGTAAATGTATTTTATTTGCAGCTGCATCTTCTAAAACTGATATTGAGAATTGATAAGTAATACAGTGACCTTGAAACCAGAGCTGTCTTTGAAAGAACCAGCCTACCACACAGTCATTCAGCACTTACTGTGAAAACCGGTGGGGGCTACAGACCATGGGGCGCTGTCTGCACATGATTCGCACTCTAGTCAAGAGGTGCAGTAGGCTAGGGGCTCAAAGGCTGCAGGCCTGAACTGGACCAGGTCAATCTATGGAAACACTCAGGAAGTGATCAGGAGCTCATGGCCAGCTTCAGGGACATAAGATCAAAGCCAGCTTGGACTACATCAGAGTGTCTCAAGAATCATAAAACAAAACTCAGGACTGACAGACAGAGAGGAAGTGAGCCAAGGAGACTGTGTTTCAATGCAGCTTTCCATACGTGACTGTTGAAAACATGGCCCATATTTCACTAGGGTGAGATTTGAAAAGGTGGCAACAGGAGGAAGGAAAGGATGGAATAATCATAAAAGAAGGCTGCTGCCAGGAGGCCTTGACCCTACACAAAGAAAGAGCACAGGGGGCTAAGGAATGCTGAAGCCAGATGCA